TTTATGTGCCTGAGAGCTATATATATGAAGATGTAGCATTATGTTACATAATTGGTGGCACAACTCCACTTACTGGTCTCATTCATAGGCAGCCATAACTATATTTGACATGATAAAATTTGAAGGGTTGTAGGGAGATAACAAATCCACAACTTCTTTTGTGTGAATGATCTAAATCCCAGGGTAAGTTTGCGGGAACTTGTTAACTATTGTTTAGATAAAACCCGTTCTCTCCTGAATCTCTACTTGAACATCCATCAAAACCGGGAACCTGGAAATATACTGTAAGGAAAACAGTTGATGAATATTGGGTCCGCGCTATCTGCAATCAAGCGGATCTGTACACATTTATGCGTAATATCAACTTCACTCATTACTCCTCCCAATACTGAGTTCAATGGGGACAGCCAATAGAGACATTAGACAGTCCCGTATCAAGTGTAAATCTATACTTGGCACATACTCTCTTCAATCTAAACGTGCAGTTTTTAATCTGACACCTATTGATCCAACATGTTTATCGTGTAAATCCTCGATACTTTTATCGATCACTGCACCCCTGGAATATGTCATGACAAAATCGAAGGCTCAATGTGAGCCACATTGTGAATGACACTAGAAGACAATTTTGATCTTTTGATATACAAAAAAGGAATCCCACGGCAGTGTAACGGTAAAATGGACCGGCTTTGACCTCTGCAGTCGCTCCTTTGTAATCTTCAAGGACCGGTATCAGCCTACTGATCGATTTTTTTTGTTTTTATCCGAGACCAATTAAATAACCAGCGTTCAATTTCTCAATGATATATTCCAGGGGAGCAGAGGTATGACTTAATGCAACGAAAGGACACTGTAGCCTAAGACAAGTAGAAGTTTACTCGATCAGGCAGAAAGTAGTTGGAGTCCCAGATAAAAAGAATCGGCAATCACAGAAAATGCAACATAGCAAAATAAAACTATTGAATGGGACAATTCTGAAGTCTAAGACAGAGAGCAGGGAAATACTCATCTGGATTCGCCAAACTCGGCCATTTCCGAAACGAGGCTATAGGCTATCGCACATCTATGACCAGGTATTGAATAAAGATCAGCTGAATATCGCTTTGTCCATTCGATCGTCATTTCGTACATCTATAACAGTCAAGTCTATGCAAGCTTATAACGTAGAAGATTTGATTTATTGCCATTTGTACATTTTTTACGTATTAGTGTACATACGGTTTACCAGTAATTTGTCTGGTGAAGGTACCAGGGTACGTATTGTACAAGTTATAGAAATGTCATACAAAAAAACTTACTGGTGGTGGTACATTAATATGTTTATTCTCTCTCTTTACCAATACAAAGGAAATGTTAAGCAATGTCTTCAAAGTGAACACTTGGGATGTGGAGCCCTGAAAAAGTCGTTTGAAGTGCTCATATAAGTGATACTCGATAACAAAACGGAGACCGGAAATGGTAATTTATTGACGTTGTTGTTACGCTAATTCCCTTTTCGTTATTTACAACTATGGCATTTTTCACCTTTTGCTGTAATGCGACATTCCCAAAAACATTGGAATAAATATAAGCAATCAATTAGAAAGAAAACCGTGGTGCCGTGGACCGTAAATTGTAGTAATACTCTCGACAGATCCTATGGTTTAAATTTAATTTATCATTCTCGGGGCAGGGGAGGGGACTGTATGCATTTCAATTTACATATGGTGTCCAACCGAAACATTCCAAATAACAAAACAAATAACCCAAAGCATACGTGTGGCCGAGGTAGACGACCGTTAATAACATGGGGAGTGAAGTGGCAATAACAAATGATATGTATTCGCCGACAAGTCAGGTAATAAAAGGTATGATTTGATAATTCGAAGATATCGTTCTTTATGCTTTTCAATTAGAGTATGCGGCGCGGGTGTAACTATTTACATATATTTACATTCTTGTTGTTTGTTCTGTACTGTTTGTTTTGTACTAAACATTACAAACATCATAATTGATGCACCATTGAAATATCATTATTTCACTCTTTTTTAATTTGGAATAAAAATATGTATGACATTGTCACATTAAATACTGACTTCCGACTCACAATCGGTTCCTCATGGTCACGAACTTTCTAACACCCAAACGTCTGACTAGGTAAACCCCGTGACATCAACTTGCACTTTAAACCCAAATAACTTTATAATGACACATGGCATTCATCCATCAACTTATCTTCATTTAAATCTGCAGGTTTTTCGGCAAACAGTTTATTTAACGGCTGTACATTTAACTTCAAATGAGGCCGCCGGGTGTCCTGGACGGTTACTATGGTGACCGATGATTTGAAATAATTCGGACATCAACTTTTTTTAAATATCTAATATGCGATGTATGCGATGGAAAAAAAACATCAAATAAGATCATCTTTAAAAAATAAAAGGAGTATCAAGTGTTGGTTATTATCATATTCTAGACATATATTTTCGTTTCAACAAAGTTAACTGATCGGCGGAAGCTTAGCATTTGGAGTTTCTGTGTACGCTGTAATTTGGTTGTTCCTTTATTATGATTTCTGTCCAATACTAATATCAAAAACATTGAATTTACAAAACTGTTTGAAGTTCATTGTAACGTAAATATAAGAATTGAATGGTTTTCGCAATGTACATGTGCATTAAAACCATCCATTCAAACCCTATATGAAGGAGTCTTACAATATACGCCAACTTTATATATATGTTAATACATCACTAAGCATGACAGTGTATACAGAGACATTTCACAATATGCTTCCTGCTTCTTACTGCAAGGAAAAAAATTGACTTATGTTATAAATCGTTTCGCGATCATCAGATCAAGAATTCAGCTAGGACTGTTGATATATTAAGAACATTTAAGAAAAAAATATAACCAGTAAATGTGATTTTATTAAATGTCGAATAGCACGACAGACGTTCAAACCACATATCAAACATGTTGCATAAACATATATTTACAACGTGAATAATTTCTTGATTGAATGTATATTTATCATAAACGAAGTAGTACAAGAATACGCCACAGGCCTGCAATGCTGATAATCATTCAAGTCAAGCGCCACCCAAAGTCGTATGCATGGAAATACTAATAGATATAATGCAAATGTAGCTGAACTGGACTGGGTCGATCGCCGGTGACAAGGTATCTCAATTAGTTAGAGCGTCCGTATAGAGTTCGGAGGGTCCCGGATTTGAACCCCGGTCTGGCCGTGTATTTTTTTGTCTTGTTATATTTGGCACCCAACGAAATATAACGACATGGTCTCTATGTCTTCGGGGTCGAAGAATTTGTTAAAGGAGGGAGGAATGTAGCGGAATGTAGCGGAACTCGACTGGGTCGATCGCCAGCGACCAGGTAGCTCAATTACTTAGAGTGTCCGTTTATAGTTTTGAGGGTCCCGGGCTCGAAACCCGGTCTGACCGTGCAATTTTCCTCTCCTGTGGCACAAATGTATTTTCTCGGTAACATCAGACACATCTAACAAATAGGCTACCATATACATAATGCCGATATTAAGACATTCAAGTGTACGAGTGATTTATGTCCCTTCAATTAATGATAAACTATTTTCCTGGGGTGTTTGGACCAACCTGGTGCTTTGTTTCTCGTTCTTTACGGCCTTAGTGAATAGATAACCAAGTTGGTAACCAAATTATTTCAAATATTTAATAGGATTTGATAGGATATTAGTGGGCCAAGCATTACTGCCTCTATATCCACAGAAATATATTTGAAATGTATGATCGTACTTCACCTTCATCAAACAATATGTGATTTAGGGATACGGAACAAATATGTACTAAACCAAGTTTGCATGGTGACACACACAAGCACGTTCGCTACTGAAATCTGAATCACCTTCCTATTATATCGTAAAGTAAAGTTAAGGTTGTATCGACCATATAGAAGTCAGGACTCGTACAGTATATTGATCCACGTAAGGTATTCCATACACTCCAGTCGTGTAAGCAGTAACCCGACTAAACACAGAGATTGCGGAAGTATAGAGTGCAAATCAATGCTTCAAAAACTCCTACATATTTGTTGATATTGCTTGTCACAAAATAATCGAAAAAAATAAAAGGGGACATTAAATCGTTTTCCGTTAAAAATCAAATGAGGAGAGCCAGTTTGGACTTTCTGGTGGCAATTATCGATACGATTATTTTTTGGTGCATATTCATACCTTTGGATTATGTCGTCGTGATATGACATGAAATAAAGGTCAAATTGGAGACCATTAAGATATGATACGAGGGGGTAAAGTGGGGGACCAAAATCAGAAAGAAACTTTTTTTTGACAAAACAGCGTGTTATTTTTCAAACTTTCTTCAAAATTTTGATATATTACTAAAGCTGCAAATAATAAATATGACAGGAAAAAAACTAGCACACAGTTGATAATATATCCGATTAATTAGACGATAGTTTGTATTTCGTTCACAGCAAATAGTAGTTGGCTGCTGAGCAAGCGATTTACTAAATTGATATCCGAGATACAATACTACAACGCAAGTTAAATTGCAAGGTATTGAAAGAGAAAAAAACACTACTAGCTGGGTACCAAGGCAAGTACATCATTTGTATGTAAACATTCTTACTAAAGATATATTGGCTTCATCACAAATAAAAAGGTAAGGTGTGTGTCAGGGGGTGATATTAATCACATTATGTTAGCCAAAAGATCAATCAAAACTGTAAAAGAATGTAATATGTTTATGTGCATCATATCTTATTGCACTGAAGGTGTTTCTGAACTTGATCTTAGCACTGGCATGCACATTCAAATACATAATTCATCAACCTTATGAGGAAAGTTATAAAAAAGAAACATCTGGTTTTGTGAAAAAAGAGGCAATTTGTAATTTTGTTTCCCCATTTTACCCCCATCATAATTTGAAATGGTCTCCGATTGGACTTTAATAGCATGTCACATCATGATAGCATAACCCCTATGTATGCATATACAAACAATGATACTTATCGCTGATAGCCACCAGAGGCTCCGAATTGGCACGTCCTTTATACAGTGAACATGGTAAGCTTTTTTCTTTTTCTTTTAACGAATGCAAATATAGCAAAAGGCATTTTCTATATGAGAATACATCGGTCAAAGTTGATCGGGATTAAGTATAATATTGCATATTCGTGCACTAAAAAATGTCATCAAACACAAATACATAAGTTACAATAAAACTCCAAGTATTAACTCAAACAGAAAGTTAAATATTTTTAAAAAGTCATTTCATAGCTCATATATAACGATTTAAGTTAGCCATTTAACAAAAGTCAATATAAAGCACGTGTTATATAACAAGTATGTGTTATATATTTTTTCAGCTGAAGAGTGGTTTAATCAATTCAAAGTTTTCTTAAATAACTTAACAATTATTACAAGGGACGAATACTTGTTTTTCCAAACATGTTAACACGTTTACGTTAAAGAAACATATGTACATATACAAGGCTTATATGTATGCTTAAAATATTTTTTAAGTTAACAATACATGCACATATCTCATCTGATGAAAAAGAAACCATGTTGCACATCATTGTGAAATAGATGTATGTACGGAGGGTCGTGCGGTTGACTTACATACTTAAACAAACATCTGGTTTGTGGGCGTATTCTTCTGATTTTCTAATTCCGGGTTGGATTCGATTGTAATAATTAGTCATGTATTATATACACAGCGTAATACATTATGTAATGTATCAAGTGAGGTTGATATGTATGTATTGATAAACATTCAATTTTTATTACATAACGAATAATGAATAGATCGATACATATCAACTTTGGTTAATACTTATGTATCAATATGTGTTAAGATCTGGAAAAGTGAAAATTTATCTTTAATGACAAATATTTAGAATTTCTAAAATCGTGACAATATGAAAGGTACAGTATAAGATAAGCATCCATTACTGATATACAATACCTCAAGGTTTTTCAGCAGTGAATAGAAATAGACTTCACACTTCAATTGCATTCATTGTCTATAGCTTGCCAGAAGATTCTGTTGTGTTGTATAGTGGCAATTACATTATAATGAAAACTTCCTGTTATTAGGTTGGTATCAACATCAATTGATGATTGCTACCAGTTATTTTGACGTTTTGTTTCACTTGATGCGGTTTATTTTCTATTTACAATTTGATATCGTATTGCAATACTTAACTACGACAATGAATTTTATAAAACAATAACATAATTCAAAGGAATGAAAAAACGCTTCCTCCAATTTAGTCGTTTTACAGCTAAAAAGATAACGATGATTTGCTGGTACCTAAAACAAAATGAGAATTAACCATAAACTGATCAGATATTTTAGCAGCAATAATCAATGATATTATGTTAATGTCAAAATTCGACAACATAGAGTCAGTTAATCTATACCAACATAACGTCACACATGTCATTTTAGCACTTATATACACAACACGTTCCTGATAGGAATTGATTTACAGGTAATGAAACGTACCGAAAGCAGGAAGTAGGAGTGAGTAAGATAAAACTGTTTTAGTTTATTCTCAATATATTATTAAATATTTTTTTCACTTTGGTTTGAAATATATATAAATAAAACTTAATCTAAAATAAATTCATAAAAAAGTAAAGATGCGTAGTAATAACATGTTAAAACCCGGTTAATTCTTAATACATGTTACCAATGCTAATACATCTAGAAAAACCGGGTGTTTTTTTTTACATTATTCAGTGATAAAACACACCAAATGCTATCAGAAATATTTGTTTATATTGATATACACATATTACCATCACAGTTGTAATATTGAAATTGAAGAATCTAATCGTGAAGATATCAATAAATTCTGTTGTGCTAAATGTTTAGTGAGAAAAATAGGATGTTATACATTTTTATTTTAAAAAGAATCATATTTTAATGAGGTAAGTCAATTTTACCCTACACAAGTATGTTTCAAATTGGTTTTTAAAACGACTCGTCTTAATCAATATGTTGATTCCAATTTTTGACGTACCGATTGTTATTGAAGGTATAGCTGCTTTGGAATATCCATATCACCAAGCTACGACAAATTTCAAGTAACACAGTTTGACAGCGATCAATATATGTAAAAAAGGACAACATAATTTCTTTGCTTGGGTCGCAAACAGAGTTTCTATCTCTTATTCAAATAAACAGGAAGCCCATCAGATAGACGATATTGACTGCTATAAATTGATGTGAACATAAAGTTACAATTAATTGTGCACGCTCTATTGATAAATATATTAATTTGAGTGCACAGGAATGCGCGTTTCGATTTTGTTAAATCTTGTTATCAATGATGGCGGCGGCCATAATGTTTAAAATCACAAAAGCAAAATCAATATCCTTATCAGTAGGGAAAAGAGGAAGTGTATTTAAAACATAAATGAATAAAGTTGAAATATTTCCTATAATGACAACAACAGGCTTCTAAACGGTGATTGATTGATACACGATGGAGTATTTATTGATATAACTGATCATTATAATTGATCATTGAATAATAAATCAGTGAGAACAGATGCATGTCAACAAACAAAATGTCGATCAACGAAAATAAATTCTCGATTTTTTATTTACACGTATTTATTAATTATTTTACTTATTTGTTTATTTTTCATTCTAGGTATAATTACTGGTAATGACGATGAACAATGGGGAACACAAAGTAAGTGTTTTGGTTTTTGTTGAAATACTTGTGTTACCGGTGGTTGCAAGTATAAACATCGGACACTACTGTTTCAGGTTTATTCTCGGCGGAACATAGATGATACCAAAAAACTCGAGTTGTCTCCCTTTGTCCACTTAAATAGTGAAACTTTACAATACTGACATAATAATGGGATTATAGAAAACAAACCCCTCATGCTACACTTGCTAGATAGTTAATGTGTTTAGTAAATAATAAGAAATCTATTGATTTACTTCACGTGTGGTAGTTTTAATGTTCCATTATTATGATGTGTGTTTTAGAACAAAGGATGAGAAAGAAAACACACCGAAAAGGGAGGAAAAAAACGAGAGAGAAAAGGAGAAAGAAGAGAGGAGGTAGAGATAATGCAGGGAGTACTCCTCTTTTTTTCGAACGCATCGAACAATCAAATGCGAAATTTCATAGGTGTATTCTTTGACATTAGACAACTTTAACAGAATTGTCATTATTTTCACGTTAGGTATTAGTATTTTCCTTTGGTAAAAGAAACATTCCTGTGATGAGAAAATATTGGTATTCTTATTTTGGCTAAATATTATACATGAACTATAATTGAAACAGAACTGTACACGTGATAAAGAAGGGTAAATCTATCTATAACTAATTAATATCATTTTTTGAATTATTAATATGAACTTAATTACAAATCTTGTCAAGTTTTCCTTTTCCTATTCAGAAAAGCCTCTGTAACTATCACGCAATGGAGTAACGAGGAACGCAATGAAAGGTTTTCAGTGATAAAAGTAGAAAAGGATGATGTGTTCGTATCAACAATTTTTAATATAACAATTCAGGAGAAGGAACAGAAAGTGGACGGAGATTCTACGACTACTGCAGACGCGACACCGGGTACAGACGAAGTTAAAGCCGTTAGAGCTGTGATATTTAAACACAACTCAGAGAAGATGGAGGAAGTTGCGTCTATTCATTCAGTAGTTGACAGTACAGACGACGAGAAAACTGTTGACTACATAACGCTCGCTCTGGAAGTGGAAATCGCCAAAAACCTCGTCATTTACACTTGTCATCAGTACATTGGAAGCAATTGGACCAAAACTGAAATTGAGCAGAAGGTATCCTTTGGTAATTTTGATAATATTGGAAAGCACTTACATCCTGTTGTCGAGCATGTCGTTAATTCCGGAACACATTGTTTGGTCTTAGTGGAGTGATAAAAATGTCTTTCATTTAAGCTCTGGTTGATGTACTAGTACTCAAAATGTGATGCATTTGTTTGCAGTGATGCATATTATCTTTGTAGAATCAAAAATGATTAAATGAAAATGTATTTTCTTCTGAGACATTTTAGTTACATATTTTTGACTTTTCACTAGGTTGGACGTAGCACCGTAGAAGTTGACGTCTATGACTTTACAACAGAAACCATATTCTTCACGTTCCGTTATATGTGTGAAGACGTCATTGTACCTTCTGGTGGGTTCGAGTATAAAAACGACTACTGTCCACAACAACGAATCACATTCCCAGAAGGGGCTGTCGAGAGAAACATGAAAATAACCATAAATGTACGTTGCAGACAATATAAACAGTCATCAGGGGGTTGTTACAATGAGATTCCAAATCAACAGTAAAAAAGTAAACCTTTAGTTCACGGTATTTGTGTTAATAAAATGGTTGCAGATTGATGATACGAATCAACATGACACTGATGCCATGTGAAACTATTACAATAGACGATTAAATGATTCGATCCGTTATCTAACAAAATAATTTTATTGATATATTTGATACACATCCTTCAAAGGGCACTTGCTCTCTGGCTCGATATCTTACTTTAAACTACACATAACTATTTATATCATTATGTTTCTTCGTTTACAGACAATGTCCATTGAAGGTGAATGTAAGAAAAAAAGACTGAAAGAAGAAATGGGATCCGATACAAGTATCTCCAGTTTATCAGATATCGTATACGTTCACCATTCGCAGCCATTCAAGAAAAAAGTCAAACTTCGGCTAAAACTGGATCCCTTATTCAACGATAGTCAATCTTCTGAAACCTTCTTGTTTCATTGTGACGACAATGGATGTTTGAGGATATTAGAAGATGTGAAAATGAGGAGGGTACTTGAGGATGATGTAGAAGGAGATAAACATATTTATGAAGTAGAGGTGGACACCTTTTCAGGGTAAGTGTTCATAACATCTGGTCCGGCTCAAGATATACAATATAACCTGCTTTTCCCTACTTAGCCGTTATGGTAGCCTCTAAAGGCCGACAAGAATAATGTCAAACTTAAATTTCACACACATAACCAATAACCACTTGTTTGTAAACGACTGCATCAATATATATATATCAATGTTTATTGTTCAATTATGAATAAATCAAAACCTATATGAAGATTCTAATCTCTTGAAACCACATGTAATGCTTACATGTATCATAGCTCAGATAAAAATCCGACTGATATATGTCTCACAACGTTTTGTATTCTAGACAAGATTCTTTATATTAAAGTACACTTTCTTTCCTTTAAGAATCGGAGCGTTTACTGGTGACCACACACAAGACCACACCGAAACTCTGTCAAACACTTTAGGTGTAGGCACAGATCAATGCAGAATTTTGGTTTTCCTGTATAAGGAACCCAAAGTTTTACAACTTTGGTCGGATATTATTCCTGAGAAAAGATGGAAAAGTAGAGAATGTGAGCTAAAAACCCGGGAAGGAATGATCTATCTGAAGAACACAGTATCTCCTTCTGTGCCTGTGAAGAATTTTGGCCGCCTTAGAGTTACTGTCTCAAACCATGGAAGAATGTTAGCATATCGCGATGTTCGCCCCGATTCCACTTTTATGTACTACGATCGAAATGCCAGGGAAATCTACAACCACTTCCCAGTCGTTTCAAGCGAAGGAATAAAAAATGAAACGGGTATTATTCACTATGAAATGGATACAACTCCCAAACGCCTCCTTCATACGGCATACATTAACGCTGAACTGTATCTGGTCGGACTTCAGCAAACAGTACCAGTACGTCAAGAACCACAACAACCAACAAACCGCTCGAGAACCCAACCGCAGCTAGAAAGACAAATATCACGACAACCTGGAGTTCGAAGAACATCACAAGCGAATGCTGCAATCAATGGTGACACACTATATGCATTGTTTATATTTTTGTTTGATGATTTCATTTTCTGTACATTTAACATACCGAAGTTGTAAGGAGAAGGCTTTTGTAGGCTTTGCCTGATGCCCTATCCCTTTGCATATTTTTTGCAATAAAAGTTGTTGAAATGAAAATCAATGGTGTGTATATGTAGATGCAGCAAGTTTAGTTCTGGAACGTTGTTGAATTGATACTGTTTAGATATACTGTTTAGGTGTATTACGAATATCAATACATACAAATGTGCAGGTTGCTTAGCATATATACATTAAACGTCAACATTATATCAAATAATATTATTTGAATTTTAAAATGTAACGTGTTGAGTAAGTACTTGAAATAATACATACGTGAATATATGATCTTTCACAAATACCAAAACCTCGGAAGAAAAAAATATATGAATATATCTAATGCATTATTAAACATTCATTTCCGTTAAACTTCTAATTCACCTTATCGCTTCTTTTCAGATTTTTTCAGCGAACAAAGCTTATTCTGTCTTGCACGGGAGATACCGACACCCAAAGTATGGGAACTGATGGTACTACTTGGGCTACGCAATAACCAGATCAAAAACATTCGCTCCGCAAACCAATCTGACAACAAATACAAAATGGCGTTAATACTCCTTTGGAACAACGAAAACAGGACGAAACCACCGGACAGCAAGCTTGCCATTCTTTGTGAAGCACTGAAAGAGGTTGAATTGACTCCCACCGCTGAGGTGTTGGAGTCGGTATACAACGAACATCGATCTTTGAAAGACGATGACTTCTCAAATAATTAACTACACTATGTATGGAATTGAGACTAAGTATCACAAACGATTAATAACATAACACAAATCCAATCGATTAAGCTCCATTTCTTTGAAATTACGTGCAGTTATTGGAATATTTTTTGTGTTAATTGGAATATTTATATATTTTGAATTTTGATATTTTAAAATAACACAGAATTCATGTCGTTGTATGTCGTCAACGTTCTCAACATATTAGGTTTAGGGGTTTATTACAGGAATGTTTACATACACATTGGTTTCTGGTCCATTGAATCGGATTATAAATGTACATATATTAACTATTTTTGTAATCTGCTTATTTATAAAACAAGAAGTACGCGTAATTAGATGTACCGCCTGTTTCCGCTTTGAGCATAAGATTCAATGTTCAAACAATTGGTAAGTTTGAGCCGAAGTTTGAGTCGAGCATGTACATATACTAGCGGAAAAAAGAAACCGTGCATGCCTAAAATGTGTTATAAAAATAAATGTGTATGACGTAGAACAACAAGGTTTTCAGGGATAATTTAATTGTTATTTATTAACAGTTGCATTCCATTTTTCACGTTTTAGAATCAAAAAGTTCCGCTCAGGAGTTACGTAAACACAGCAGGGGTCAATACTGAGGTCACAAAGTTAATATCTCGTATGTCCGCCGTTTGCCTGAATGCAAGCCTGGCAACGTCGACGCATGGAGCCTATCAGACGGTTCAAGAACGCTTGTGGGATGACATTCCAGATCTGTACAAACGCTGAAGCCAAATCAGCCAACGTCACTGGTTGATTAGATAATGTCCGTAATCTGCGCTTCATTTCATCCCAGACGTGTTCAATGGGCGACAGATCGGGGTATACGGCACGACAGGGCAACACGTCAACGTTCTGCTGGGCCAGAAAGTTTATAGCGACACGAGCTGTGTGTGCCCTGGCGTTGTCCTGCTGTAGCGTAATGTGACGTTGCTGCCCTTGCACGAATGGAACGACGTGGGTCCGGAGGATCTCGTCACGGTAACGTAGCGCGTTCAAAAAACACCAGAGGCGTTCTCCCGTTGGCTGTGATGCCGCCCCAAATCATAACGCTGCCACCGTAGAAAGAACGTCGTTGTCCCACACACGCGTCACGGAAACGTTCTCCAACGCGACGATACAATTTGGAACGGCCGTCACTACTATCCAGGTGGACTTGCGACTCGCCCCGTCGAGTAAATCGCAGATGCTTTCTGCACCAGTCCAGACGTGATACACGATGACGGGGCAGAAGAACTGGGCGGATTGCAGGACGTCGCGAACGGATAGCTCGTTCACGCAATCGGTGCCGTATAGTTATAGGGCTTATTGGTAGTAACTGTCCGTGCAGTCAAACATGCCGTTTGGAAGCGATTTCTCAAATGGACAAGCTGAATATGGTTGTCATGTTGACGTGACGTCACACGTGGACGTTCCACACAAGGTCGATGGCCGACGTGGCCAAACTATTGATGTCGTCTCCACAAATTCCCGGATTGTGTTTCGATGGACATGAAAACGTGTAGAGACAACGGCTTCGCCCATACCAGCTTGAAACATACCAATAATCCGGAGGCGGTCATTTTCATTGAGCCTCGGCATATCATTAATCACAAATTAAAACGTTATAATGCTGTTTTTATTGTTAACTGGTCTCAACAGATTGACCAAACAGTTGAAAAATAAACTTTCATTGTCGAATTGGATGGCTGGACGAGAAAAACGTGCAAACTGGTCAACGCCTATTGAGAGCAAAATGCACGGGAAAAACTGTCAATGACACACGAATAGTGTGTATGTGTCATACTCGGTCATGAGTGTGAATTTGCATGTATATACAGTTGGTTATACATGTTCTATAACAATTCTCCGCATGCACAGTTTCTTTTTTCCGCTAGTATATATGTGAATTTCGACCAATCATTCAGAAGCCAGTATACGACGACCATCTTGTCAGATCAGAAAGCGGATGGCGCGGTTGAGTTCAAAGTGCGAAAATTCACTTACATAACGACTTTTAGCGAAATCGAACAATAACGGAATTTCGACCAATCAGAAGCCAATACACAGTGGCCATTTAGTCAAATCAGAAAATGGATGTTGCGGCTGAGTTCGCATTGGCAAAATACATGTTCTTACCGAATTTGATTGAAATCAAACAATAACTGCATTTTGACCAATAAGAAGCAAGTATAATGCGGCCATGTTTGTAGTCTGATTTCGTGAAAACATTGCCGATGTAACCGTTAAGATGGTAATGATCATCCTAACTTACAGTCTAAGTTTGAGATACAGCATTTAAACAGCTAAACGCAAACACTTTACATTGAGGAAGATGCTATGAAAGTCACTGGACTGCGAAATGCAGACCACATTTATTATATCATGCATGGTTTATAATACATGAGTTATTATTTTAAGACGTATGTATGGTCTAAGTTTGGTTGGTATAGCACTTAAACTGTTTGAAAAACGGAGCTAAACACAAAAACTGAGCATTGATGAGGATGCTGACAAAGTCACTGAACCGTGAAATATAGGCCACATTCAGCTTATGATGCATGATTTAAAATGCACTATGTCTGAAATAACTACAGTCAAAGTTTGGTTAGTATCTCACTTAAATGTTTAAGATACGTACAGCATAAAACACACAGCTAAACACAAAAACTAAACATTAATGAAGATTCTCACAAAGTCACTGGACCGTGAAATATAGTCCACATTCAGCATATGATGCATGTTTTGAAATGCACTATGTCTTAAATAACTACAGTCTCAGTTTAAATGCTTAAAATAAAGCATAAAACACACAGCTAAAGTCACTGGACCGCAAAATGTAGGGCACATTCAGCAACTGATGCATGGGCTGAGGTGAAGTATATAAGACGCATGTATGGTCCAAGTGTGGTTGGTGTAACACTTATACTTTTTAAGAATCAGGTTAACGTTGACACCGGCGCCGCCGCCGTCGTCGCCGCCGCCGGAAAAGTAACACCTCCGTGACATCCGTCGCAGGCGAGACAAAAGCAAACACTTCCATTGCCTTTAAAAGGGTGTACTATTCTGGGTTTTCATTATTGCCGGAAGTCAAATGTGACGAAAGTCCAGGGCTCTAAATTTAGAAACCAATTTCTTTTGTTTAATGGTAGAACATTGGCAGCTCTTGTAAAAAAAAAATCTAAAATAAATTTAAAAAAAAAATCTAAAAACAATACAT